CTGTATATTCCATGAATCAGACAAGTAGTATAGTTTATGAAGAAGTTTTTATTGGTATAAAACGAATAAACATCTCAATGAACGGATGCATCGTGACATTTTGTGGTTGCTTAGGAATGCGCACCCGTAAACCTAACAGGAGTTGAAGTCACTACCAACTGGTAACCAGCAAAACACACTTACAGTTCAGTCACTGGTTTGGAATCTTAACGGATTGTGAAGTTTAACTTTGTCAAATCCAGAATACAAGTCGTATAATAGATGTTAATTACCCTGAAACCAGTGCAGAGATCAGCAGAACTGAGAATAAGGAAACAGATAAAAAATTTTGACAAAAATGTTGAAAAAGGTGCTTCAACTTGGTTCAGAGACTTAGCGCGTGCGTCACCAGAATCATTCCCAACAGTGTGTAGATTGTCATCGACATATTCCTTCACTCGATACTGTGGGTCAGATGACTGACAGTCGGGAAGGATCAGCGCTGGCAACAAACCAACCAACCTATTAAACATTCAGGAGGAAATGGAGATGGATTGGATATCCACTACTCTGAGAAGACTATTGAGTGACGTCATAGGTCAGCTTCTTGAATGGGGTTCGAATGAGAAGAGAGGAGTTGGGCATCAGAGAGTGATATGGGAGAGATCATATGAAGAGAAAATGAAAGATTGTGGGCAGTCATGCAGCAAAATGAAAAAAGTCAGAAGAGAAATAAGTGCAAAAGAAGATATGCCACTGAGGGCGTGCACTGCAGTCGGAACCAAAGAGACGAATAATATTATAACAGTATATGTCGCTGAGGTTAACTATTACCGTCGATGTTCATCAAAAATATTCAGATCCATTACAAAACCAAAATGGGGTAATAATCTCCTGATCAGTGACGACTAGCTTTAGGATAGATGCCTCAATGTTCTGCTAAGGAATTATGGTTGGCGTGATTCATCATGCTGGGTGTAAAACAGATGCTCACCAAAGGAATCATCTGGCTTTGATGCAGTGTAATGAGTTGACTGAAAATGGAATTCATTGGTCGTTAGACAACATATGAGTGCCTGAACTGCAAGCGTGTTTGACTTTTAGACCAAAGGACCTGAGTTCGATCCCTGATAGGTTTACAGGCACACATCCTCAAGAAGACATAAAGTGAGACGAAACATCAATTCAATGTTCCTTGATTTTTGACTGTTCTTTTGCTGACCTCAGTTTGTAATGAAATCCAACCCAAGCACTAAACATTAACGCAAAATCCTTAGGTCTTTGAACAACTGTTGAGATAGCGGATACACTTTCATCTTCCCAGCATATTATTCAGAGACTAAGATACACTCATTTTCATTTGAGGTAATCAAAGTCACCAGTGTGGTCTTTCGCGTCCCACATAGGATTCCCAGTCTTTTTCACAGTACTGCGTCACGAGTGCACTTTACAGATCTAACGATTCCTAAATTATGGTAATCGGAAACAGCGTGCCAACATCATGATGTCTTGGTTACGTATCTAGAACCAAACAATCAACATATAACAGTAAGACATCATGAAGTGTACCCGGAAATCTATTAGTGATGAACAAATTACCAATATTTGGGTGTCATCCTTTTTCGTGACAAAATCTTTTTTGACAGCCAAGTTTCTCAAAGAAGATTCAGTACTCATTTTTGTCCCTGTTACCATAAATTTCCAAAGTTACAGACACAGGTATTTTCCAATACAATCGAATATTTAAAAATTTCTCCAATCTGCATAATGTAGTAGTAACCAAAGCAGGGGAATACCAGTGATTGGTAATGTTTTGGCGGCAGTCTCAGCTCCTATTTTGGCTTGACTGCTTGAAATCTGTCACTACCAGCTGGTAAACTGGGTAAGGCTTAGGCCAAAATTCTAAAAGGACCACGTAGGCGCTTGGTAAATTTGGATGTAACTGATAAAGGATGTTTCATTTTTCAAAAAGCACATAGTTTTGACACCTACCATTTTAAAAAATTGTAAACGGAGTTCACCCACATTTAACTATCTCTCTTGCGAACATCCCTTTTGAACTTATCGTGACCAGAATAGTTGACGATAAGATGACGTATTGCTCCAGCAGGACTGAGTATTAGATTTCCTAAACCTTTTACCTTGTATCTGAGCAATTTTCAAACAATACTTATTTATACTGGGCATAACTATTGGACTTGTATTGATGTAGGGTTTACTGGATATTATATATATATATATGTCACTTTTATAAAGTGAAGTATACTCGGAAAATTTGAGACCTTAAAATCCAGATCCTTAAAATTTGGAAATATCTGGATCGGGATTGGATAGAAATACAAACTATCGTTCTTGACATTTTCTTGCCTCCCATATCTTTCATGACGTTGACAGATAGTAGACCAACTTCATATTTGTGACAATGGGAGTATTTTTTTCAAATTTTTTCAGTGGCTTCACAATTTGACGGTAGCTAGCAGTAGATATCTGGGTGTCCATTGTAAGCCTCTTAGAACCTTTCAGTTAGATGCACCTGCATCCAAATGAGTGACGATGTTTTCACCACCCATCGTTTTGAACGCTACAATAATACCGTGTGATCTGCTAAGTCATGAATACCACCTTTTGCGTAGTCAGTTCCATATGTTTTCCTCAAGAAAATCATAAACTCGCATGTCATTTTTTTATTCCTCCACGTTCCCAGTGTAACATAGGGCTTCAAGCAAGAGGCTTGAAGTTCCTGTAGTAGTGTTTATTTATTTTACAGGATGACGTTGCTAGCCTCATGACCAACCTTTCCTCTTTACCAGCTTTTAATTCTGACTTAGTTAGTAAAGGAGTGAGTCGGCCGGGGATCAAGCCCGGGACCATGTGCATGTTTGACGAGCGTCCTAACCGCTTTGCCACCTGTGACGCACCTCGCATGTCATTAGTGTTAGGGAATTCAGAATTTTGACGGAATAAAGATATCACAGTTCTCCATCATAAACCGAATAAGTCCATCTTGAGGTGAATTACCGATGGACAGTGGACTGTACTTGGGGATATAAGATATGTCAGTGGCTATCCGAATACATTAAGATTACAAGTTTTATAGGGATTTGCTGTAATTTCTACGTAAATTTTGTCCCAAGAAAGCATCCTTTCGAAAATCCATGACAGCTTTTCCAAAGTGATCACCTAAATATCATTCTCCAGTTCATTAGCGCCTACTTGGTCGATTTATTCAAGTCGTGATGAGACGTATTAGTCAGTGAGGTCCACCATGCCATGGTGAAGAGGTTGCTCATGGATGGCACTGGTTAGAGGTAGCGTTATGTCACGAATTGACAAAGAATTCACAGATTACTGAATTCTCACTTAATTGGTTGAATCGTAAGTGGACTTGCCTCTTTTATCGGAAATTCAAAGATCGTGGGTGCCCACTGCCGAAGAGTTCCAAAGCACGGCGAAGCACCCTCTCACTGCCCTTTTAGTTCTCTCTAACTAATTTATTTCATGACAAAATCCACATTGGAATTAATCCAAATACATGCCAATCAATTTGTCCGCGTACAAGTTCATTAGTTTGAATGGCTTATCAGAATGTCTAACATCATCGGACTGCATTACAATTCACCTAGGCTATTTACAAAAAATATCATATTTAGAAATACAGCTCTTTCTTATTTGTATAGCTGTCTCAAACTAACCTATTTTCTTCTCAGAAGTAAACTGCGCACAATCGTACTAACAAATTGAATATTGCTCGACAAGGAGTAAACTGCTTATACTGTGAATGCACGTTCCCATGAGAAAAGCTACAATCCTTTTCAGATGATCAACCTCAGTAATAAAATTACTTCTCTAAGTCTTCTTCAAATAAGTCTTTGGAAAGTAACTTCCCCTATAAAAAGCTATGTATATGGTACACTTTAAAAAGAACTCTAATTTGTGATTTCATTTAAAGTTCCCACTAATAAGTATTATATTTTCGGAACTGATGCTGCTGTACCTCAGTGAACTTTACTTATTCCTGACAATAGGAATAATTTAGACTGGTTTAGAATGTCTGCCTTCGAAACACATGTCCCTTAGAAATACAGGTGAGAAAATTTCACCTCAACTCTGTTTGTTGAAACGATTATTTGCGAGCGGAGGTAAATCTGGTCGGTGAAACAATTACAGCTAGTGGTAATATTCTACTACTCGGAGCTTCTTCTGGGGATATCGTATAATACAGAAGATTGGTACCTCAGGTGAATAACTTTGAGCTGAGTAACATTATAGTCATGCTTTCATTGTCTTCCCCGACAAAATCTTTAGCGTAGACTTGAAATCATAAGTCAGTAAAACGATCAGTGCTTATCCAGAGTGACTACTGATCACAACCAAGGTCGTCATGACAGAGATAATTATATCATTCATGGGGAATTCTGATAGGTTCACTGCGCTGAAGATGTTGTTCAGAAAGATAATCAAAGCTTTGTAATTAAGCTATCACATTCAAACAACATGTGCGTCGGTGGCATAGCGGTTAGGACGCTCGCCGACCATGCACATGGTTCGGGGCTCGATCCCCGGCCAATGACGCACTCCTTTACCTCGCTAAGCCAGAAATAAAGCTGGTGAAGAGGAAAGGTTGGGCATGAGGCTTGCAACCCCATCCTGTAAAAATAAATACCACTGCTACCGAAACTTCAAGCCTGTAGCTTGAAGCCCTATGTTCCACTGGGGAAAGTCAAGGAAAAAAATTCAGACAACATAATCACATGATATATATATACATGTCACATATCTGAAGCGTCTTCTGTCAAACTTAATCACTGTAAACTTTGATGTTTTTACAACTTACAACAGTATTTGGTAGATGACTCAAACCGTGAACAGACACGATGTTTTGCAAATAGTAGAAAGCAAGCTACGGATATTATTTGTTCTTTTTTTCATATATGAAGTGATTACTCTTATTCTGTGTATGATCCCCTGCTTTCTTTTCTCAAATCGTTTCATCAAACTACTCTCTCACTTGTTACTTTCAGATTCGCAGTTCATCGAATATTATCGATGAATCTCAATCAAGCGCTTATGGATTGTTTGAATCCTCTTCAAATCAGCTACAAGACTCAAGTATAATTTCACGACAGGGTAGTCTATCTGCCTCAGCATCGGCTAGTTTCTTTCCACTGAATCCGGGTGTATCAAATTCCTATTTAGGAAGATATACCTTAGCTGAAATATTGATCATTGGGTTCTCTGTCTTCTTCTCAATCTTGATCCTGATTATTTTACTTGCTGTTTTTATTATTCGTCGAAGAACTCAACAATTATTGCAAAACAATGAAAGAATGAGTAAGTCATTATTCAACTAATTAGTAATTATGTTTATTCTCAATATTGGATGCTATGAAGGTTATAGTTAATCTGTATGAAATGTTTATCTTTATGTTCCTTGTGGTATTTTAATTTTTGAATGTTATGTATTATCGTTATAAGGCAGGTTACCTAGCTAATCCGGTTGTATCAGACTATTATTCCCCTGGGTTCTGATCGTAGCACAGTAGTACATCTGCATTTTACTTTGTTTTATGCAATCATACATAGCTGGCTCAAGGAGATTCATCGTGCTGAAGTTTCTGTAGCAGCTTTGTTTACAGGGTGGGGTTGCTAGCCTCACGTCTGAGAAGGGGATTGTTACAGTAAATTATAGTTAACAGAGAAGCGCCCTTGTGGGTTGCTCCCCTTAAAACCAGCAAAACAAGGTATAAAACAATCAGAACAACACCAGCACAGGAAAATAATTCACAACAAGAAGGGTGACAAGCGACAACAACAATAATAATATCACAGTCAAGTGCAGTTAACCAGAATGATACTAAAATCATAAACTCACTGACTTGAGCCAACTTGAGACAACTTGAACATGTAAATCCATCAATATATACAATTATAGATATTAGTTGGTGTTAAACAAGCAAAGTTTATATCCAAAGATTCAGTGTTTCAAAGTCAAATAATTGCAATAGATTTTTGCAACTTTTTGGCAAGATATTCCACAAAAATAAGAGTTTTAGGTAACTATGAAAATGTAACGTAGTAATCGAAATGCGATGGCTACTCGACTGTGCATCAGTTTTGTTTCTTCTTCACATGGTTTCCTTCCTGTCACCCACTGACCCACGTCAAACTCATCGTTTTCCATTTGGTTTCCATTTTTGGATCTTAATGTTGCCGGATTTCACTCAAAGGTCTCTTCAGCATGTGTCTAGTCCATCTCCATTTCCTCTCGCATCTTTCTCGGACAAAAGGTCTTTGGTTGTTTTGGTACTAGAGTCCTCTGTTTCTGATCCTTTCTGGCCTACCACATTATTTTCATTACGTAGCGAAGACAGCTGTTGGTGAATGTCTGCCAGCCGGCTATTGGAAATGCTTTTCGGGATGCCTGCGCCGAGTCTCTGAAACGTTTTAGAATCAATGACTTCACATCAGTGTTGGAAATCTGAATCTTTACCCGAACGATAAATGACTTACAATTCCACAGAGATTTCCTATTTTGACTGCTTTTGATATCCTCATGCGTGCCATTTCCCAGTAGTTGAAATGATGCTACATAAATAAGTGAAATAATTGACTTCTTCAGAGACACTACATGCAGACAGATGATGGCTGTAATGAGAGTGCATTTCTCTACTTTCATTAAAGGTCATACAAAGACAAGTACTTCCTTCAATGTGATCATCATTTAGTCTTTACCTTTATCATACTTTTCTTGATTTTTGCAGTTCGTTCTATTGAGGTAATCAACTGTTACACTGGAAATTATTTCAATAAATAGGCTTGCAGGCCAATAGCTTCCAAAGTTCATTGTATTAACTTCAGTATTATGCTTCTGTAGCGTGCGTCGGTGACACAGCGGTAGAATGCTCGCCGGCCACGCCGCATGTGTTCCGGGGTTCGATCCCCTGCCACCGACGCACTCCTCTACCTCGCTAAACCAGTAACAGGACTGGTAAAGAGGGAGGGTTGGACATGAGGCTAGCAACCCCATCCCGTTAAAGTAAACACCACTGCTACAGAAAATTCAGGCCTCCAACCTGAAGCCCTATGTTCCACTGGGAATGTAAAGGAATAAAAAAATCTTCTGTAGCAGGATGTATATAATAATTAGCGAAACGTTCCAAAATAAACCATTAGATTCATGCGTAAATGCAGTTACAAGGCCTTCATTGTGAAGCATGAAAAATATAATAGATATGAGCAATAATATTGGTTGAGTTAAAGGAGATAAACACGTTTAAAAAAACATGCAGACGAGTACTAAAAGAAGGTATAAATTTAGACGTTCTAGTCTGCGGAGCAATTTATACAGTGATTGGTCTCTAGAGTATATACAATATTAGATTTTGAATGTGTTATGTTTGATCATATCTCATTCACAAAATCTTCCAGTGTGGTCATCAGGGCAGCAGACTCTTTATCAGATTGCATTCTTTAGTTGGTTTTGCATTGTGTTAATTGAAATAATTGTTATTCGACTATTGGTTTGTAGGGATTTGACTGACTAGTTACAGTACTTCATCATGAGCTGATATCAGTTAGGGAACCATTGGAGGACCTGCAGGCAGTACTGAACAGACGTTTCGTCCCAGCTGGCTACTTTTCGGCGTTACGCACCCAACAGGGTTCGAACACAGAACCGTCTGGTTACAAGGTGAGCTAGTAGACCATTCAGACACTGGGACCCGACCCAACGGTCCATGAATTCCAACCTCGCCTTGTAACCAGAGGGTTCTGTGTTTGAACCCCTTTGGGTGCGTAATGCCTAAGAGTAGCAAGCTGGGGCGAAACAGTTGTTCAGTACTCCCTGTAAGTTTTCCAATGGTTATCTAACCAATGTCAACTCATGACGAAATGCTGAAATAATTGAAATAGACCTAAACAAACTGAAAGATGTGACTTTGATGACTACCGCCAGTGTTGATAGATCAATTTATCTATGACCGTTTGACGAAAGATGCTACACATGATCTAGGCTCTTTGAACCGGCCGATACACTCCTAAACCTCAATCAAACAAGCGGTGGGCCCAAGAAAGAGGGAAGGACGACCATGTAGCTAGTAAACCAACCCCGTAAAAACAATACAAGCGCTATTGAGACTACGTCCCATTCAGGACACAAAGGAATAAGAGATAGAGATGAGATTTCTACAAGCTCCATGCCTCAGTGTGTGGGCGTGTGCGCACTTGTACATTCGCCTTGATGGCATTCACTGATTACCATGACAACTAGCTAGATCAGAGTCTTACCAACTGTCCCAACCACCCCAGAAGCTGAAAGATATATATATATAATGATAGCAAGATAAAAATAAAACATCATTTAGAAACTCAAAGCTTATACAACCATGTACCCAACAAAGCATAAATAGATAAAATTAAGAAGGGCTTAATTCTTTTTTTGTTTTTTAATTAGTATCAAACACAAACAGCACATTTAAAATAAATTTGTTTGATGATATATATATATATGATGTGTTCTGTATGAACAGATCAATCCCCAGGGGAAATTCTAGTTCTTTTTTTCCGCCTCAAAACAAAATTCAAAATAATAAAACTCATTTGAAAATGAAGTCATTGAAGCAAAACAACAATTGTTTTAATTAAATGTGAGTTTTTATTTTATATTTCAGTTTTCAATTATTTTAGATCTTTAGTGTACTCACCTACTTATGGTGCAGTTCGGAGTGCGTATATATATGTATAGATATCACACTGAAAACCCTATGAAATCACTCTGTACATTGAAAATAAGAGTTGTTAAGCAACAAAGAATTGTCCAATAATAAAAACTGACTATTATACCATTATACAGTCTTGTTAAACAGGGGCAGCTCAAATATTTCCTAAATTTGAAGTGGAATTATGCTGCTGCCCAGCAAGGGAAGAAAAATATTGCGTCACATCATCTTGATGAGACCAAAAGATGCTCTGGATGCAAACCTGCGCCCCCCCTCCCCACCCCAAACAAGCTAGATTCAGGAATAGCAAATCATGTACATGCACAAACCATGTAACAACTCTACACTTCGTCATCGAAGAGATAATAGATTAGCAGTCAAATCCCATACTTTATCTTCATAGACTTTGAAAGGGTCTTTGACAGAGTTGATTGTGAAATGACTTAGAAATTTTTTCAACACTACGGAGTGCAATGAATCTTTATCAGCCCTATTCAATAGCTATATGATGATGATGATAAATGTTGAGTGATTCACGACGAAAAAATCAATGGAGTCTTTGAAGTGAAGACAGGAGTAAGATAAGGCTGTCTATTGTTATCAATGATATTCCTACTTGTGGTGTACTGGCCAGTACATGAATTCTAACTTCTGCCAATTCACGACATAGCGCGACCCCTAGCCAATGTCTTCGGCGAGTATTTGTCCCCACGCCCGACCTGCTGCACCCTACTGGTCACGCCTTCTCACTAGAACCCCAGGTGACTACCCACCTGAATAGGGCAAGTCGCTAGTGAGCATCTCATTGATATTCAAGTGTTGGTTTGTAGGGATTTGATTGGTTACAGGATTTTCAGGATTGGTTACAGGATTTTAAGATAAATTCTCCGGAGTTTTAATGTCATGTTGTGACTGGTTGATACCATTTATTGCGATACGATGACAGAAACTCATCGCATATATTAAATGATAGTCATACTATGTAATCAGCCATCAGCGGCTAAGAATAATATACCAGTAACTTTGAAATAAGGCAGTGCATGAATGGTGATTTGTTCACCCCGTAAATTGACCACCATTGTTTCAATTCTTAGGAGAGAGGTGTAAAAAGTTTTAAAAAAGATGGCAAAAGCTTTCTGTAACTGCCCCGTTCTCGATGATATTTCAGAGTGATTACCGGAATCGATGCTAATAAGCTTCATTTCGGCAACAGAATAATAGTTAGCAAGACACCATTTGATGTCTTCATAAAAGCAACTTCTGTACATCAACCACTAGACACCATCAGGACTTAAAACACCTGCCAACGTTGCAAGTTATTGGGCAAAAACTCACTTTAGGAATAATGGAATCACTGGGAATCCAAATCTGTGAAAATTAACCTGATATTGTCTTTATAGGAATTTTTGACAAAAAAGAGTTGGAATTATTCATTTCCATTTCGCTGAGATTTTATAAATTACCTCTCACTGGGCACCCAATTATTTTAGAACTTTACTGTCAAATCCTGACCACAGTTCATATGATAACAATTTTCCACCTGTTGAATAGAACCTCATACTTATTTAACTCATTCTCTATTTTCCCGCTGATGGCTTGGACCGAAGTGGCTAG